GATAATCCAGGTAATTATAGACCGGTGAGCCTGACGTCAGTGGTGGGGAAGCTGCTGGAGAAGATACTGAGGGATAAGATCTATTTACATTTGGAAGAAAATGGGCTTATTAGTGATAGGCAGCATGGTTTTGTGCAGGGAAGGTCATGTCTTACCAACTTGATAGAATTCTTTGAGGAAGTGACAACGTTGATAAATGAGGGAAGGGCTGTGGATATCATATACATGGACTTCAGTAAGGCGTTTGACAAGGTTCCCCATAGTAGGCTGATGGAGAAAGTGAAGTCGCATGGGGTCCAGGGTGTACTAGCCAGTTGGATAGAGAACTGGCTGGGCAACAGGAGACAGAGAGCTGTAGTGGAAGGGAGTTTCTCAAAATGGAGAACTATGACCAGTGGTGTTCCACAGGTATCCGTGTAGGGACCACTGTTATATACATAAATTATCTGGAGGAGGGTATAGATGGTCTGATTAGCAAGTTTGCAGATGACACTAAGATTGGTGGAGTAGCAGATAGTGAAGGGGACTGTCGGAGAATGCAGCAGAATATACATAGATTAGAGAGTTTGGCGGAGAAATGGCAGATGGCGTTCAATCCAGGCAAATGCGAGGTGATGCATTTTGGAAGATCCAACTCAAGAGCGAACTACACGGTAAATGGGAATGCCCTGGGGAAAATTGATGCACAGAGAGATCTGGGTGTTCAGGTCCATTGTACCCTGAAGGTGGTAACGCAGGTTGATAGAGTGGTCAAGAAGGCATACGGCATGCTTTCATTCATCGGACTGGGTATTGAGTACAAGAGTTGACAGGTCATGTTGCAGTTGTATAGGACTTTGGTTCGACCACATTTGGAATACTGTGTACAGTTCTGGTCGCCACATTACCAAAAGGATGTGGATGCTTTGGAGAGGGTGCAGAGGAGGTTCACCAGGATGTTGCCTGGTATGGAGGGCGCTAGCTATGAAGAGAGGTTGAGTAGATTAGAAAGACGGAGGTTGAGGGGGGACTGGATTCAGGTCTACAAAATCATGAGAGGTATAGACAGGGTGGATAGCAAAAAGCTTTTTCCCAGAGTGGGGTACTCAGTTACTAGGGGTCACGATTTCAAGGTGAGAGGGGAAAAGTTGAAGGGAGATATGCGTGAAAAGTTCTTTACGCAGAGGGTGGTGGGTGCCTGGAACGTGTTGCCAGCGGAGGTGGTAGAGGCGGGCACGATAGCGTCATTTGAGATGTATCTAGACAGATACATGAATGGGCAGGGAGCAGAGGGATACAGATCCTTGGAAAATAGGTGACAGGTTTGGATAGAGGATCTGGATTGGTGCAGGCTTAGAGGGCCGAAAGTCCTGTTCCTGTGCTGTAATTTTCTTTGTTCTTTGTTCTTTATTCTTAGTAACGGCACCACCGCCAGTGAGTGGCAGCTCAAGGCAACTGCATTTGCCACTTGGCCTCCTGAATGGTGTTCCAACTTGTAATTGTACTCAGAATAAGAGCCCACCGCTGACTTTGACCTGAAGTTATGTACGGCATGGCCCTGTCCTCTTTAAGTCGGCCGAGCAGGGGTTTGTGGTCAGTTACTTATACAAATGTACATCTGTAAAGGTATTGGTGGAAATTTCTCAAACCAAAGATGACTGCCAAACCTTCCTTCTCTATCTGGGCGTTTCTTCATTCGGCAATAGCCAAAGTCCGGGAAGCATACGCAATCAGATGTTCCTCTCTGCTGGACCACCGGTGAGCAAACACTACATTGATACCATACTGGGAGACATCACTTGTCAGCACCACATCTCACTTGGGATAGTCATGTGCCAAGATCTCAGATGACTATAGCTGCTTCTTCACTTCCCTAAAGGCTACGTCTTGGCTACAAGGCTGACCCTTTTTCAATTTCAAATGTAATGGTGCCAGGGTGGAGGCCAGATTCCTTATGAATTTTCCATAATAATTCACCAACTTAAGGATAGATAGTCTGGTACAGACAGAGGAGGTGGGGCACCTTTGATTGCCCTCACTTTATCTTCAATGGGTGTAACCTGGTCTTGACGATTCTGTAGCCCAGGTAGATCACTTGGTGTGTCTAGGACACATATTTTTCCCTCCTAAGGTGAACCCTCGCCTCTTTAAGCATTATGTCCAAATTCTCTAAATACCCTTTGTTGGTCTTGCTGGTTATTAGCACATCATCCAGATAAATGATGACCTGGGGTGGATCTTGTAAAATGTTCCCCATTGTCCACTGGAAAATGCCACAAGCTGATGATATCCCAAAAAGCAGTGTCGGATATTGGTACAAACCCTTATTAATTGTAGCTTGCTTCTGGGAATCCACATCTAATTGCAATTGCAAGTACGCTTGGCTCATGTCCAGCTTCATGAAGGACAGCTCACCACCCACCACCAGTTTTCCTTAAGAGTTCTCTATGCAAGGGATTGAGTATTTGTCCAGTTGCAAAAAGCGGTTTAGCATTTGTTTGAAATCCCCACGAAGGCGAACCGACCCATCAGGCTTCACAATTGGTAAAACCAGTGCTGCCCATTTGCAAACTGGACTAGTTTGATGATTCCTTCGCTTTCCAGCCTCCTGATTTCTGCCTCTACTTTTGCACGCAAGGCAAATGGCACTGGGTGGACCTTGCAGAATCATTGAATTGCTTCTTGTACAAAATATAAGGTGGTGTTGGCCCCTTTGATAGTCCCAAGACCTCCCTGATAAACATCCAGGTATTTAATTAGGACTTCACTCAGGCAGACATTTTCTAATCAAAAAATATTGAGCCAATCAAATTGAATTATTCTCAACCAATTTTGCCCCATCAAGCTTGGGCCCAAACCTTTTACTACAATCAGTGGTAACTGTTCCAGCTGCTTCTCATAAGAGACCAGAACTGAAGTTATACCCTTAATCTGTAGGTGTTCCCCAATGTAGGTTCTCAGCCTGGCTGAGGTCTTACGCAAACTTAAGGTTTGGAGTCCCAGAGTGAATTTTGGTAAAGGCTGGTACCGTAAGCACTGATACAGCCACGCTGGTATCAACCACAATTAGAACTGGGTGACCACTTAACAAGATGTTTATTTTGATTGGTTCTGATCTGGATGTTGCTAAGAAATTTAACTGTTCCAAACCAGTCTGTAGGTGGACCTTTAAGGATGTGCACTCTCCTGGATACTGGCCAATGAGTTCTCTTACTTAATTCATGCCTAGTAGCACGCTTTAGCTGTCTCAAGTCCACATACTGGTAGGAACTACAACTGTTGTTGGCCTAGATCCTTGAGAAGACCTTAGCTGTTTGGCCGATGCTTGGCTTTGTTTGGGGGTTTTCCTGTGGGCTGACCTAAGACTTCTGTTCATTCAAATGGTGTGCTGCAAACTCAGTTGGCCTGGAGAGGATGGCCACTTCCATTGGTGTACCCTGTAACTCACAAACACCACTTGCCACATTTTCCAATGACAAAGCCAGTTGGTCTGTCTATTTGAAATCCAGCTGGGCTTCAGCTAGTAGGCATATTTGAATGGTCACATCATTAATCCCAATCTCCTCGCCACTGAAATAACTCCACAAAGACTGGTATTGCATCACCAAGTCACCCTTTATTGACACACGCATAGCACAAGACACTGACACAGCTAGCTCAGAGCTGGCTCCTGGTGAGCAGAACCTCTGACACTCCTGTTTATATCTATTGGCCAGGACTTCCTGATTGGACCAGGTTAACAGTCTCAATCAGAGAACTCATATTCTATGAGATTAACCTGGCTGACCTCATCCCTATCATACACAGACCAGATGGTATTTTTAGAAATACTAACCTGTGTATGACAACTGTCAAATCTTATAGAGTATTTTCACAATCTACCATTGAAAACTTGCATTTCATGTGTTCATAACTTATTTTCTTCAAATGTAAGACCCTAGTTTCCGAATGAACTATATCATATCCAAACATTGTGTGAAATGCTATCATATTATAGTCACAATTTTCTAGAGGCTCCTTTACAGCAAGATTACCAATTAGCCCTTTCTTACTACACAACATAAAATGCAATTTCCCTTTTGACTATCCCTCCTAACTGCCTATTCTACTTCCTTGTACCAGTTTCGCTTCCTTTTCATCTGAATTCCCTCTCAGGCTCCTGTCCCCATCCTAATCCAGTTTAAACCTCCCTGCAGCGCCAGCAAATCTCCCTGTGTGAATGATAATCCTGATCCAGCTATGATTTACTCTGTCCATCTTGTACAGATCCCATCTGCTCCAGTACTAATCCCAATAGTCTCAGAAATCTGATGCCTTCCTCCTATACCAGTTTTTTGGTCACATGTTCAATCTCTCACTTCTCTTCTTCTCTGCTCATAGCAATTGGAACCAGAAGTAACCCTGAGATTATTATCTTAGAAGCCTTGTTTTTCATCCTTCCTTCTCATTTCTAAAATCTGCTCTCAGGACCTCATTCCCCTTCATACCAAAGTAATTGGTACTGATGTAGACCACAACCTCTGGCTGTTCATCTTCCCCTGATGGATGTTCTGCAACATCAGAGATGAGGAAAAATACTTTCTCACAGAGAGTCATGAGTGTTTGGAACTCTCTATCTCAAAAGGTGGTGGAGAGTCTTTTGAATATTTTAAGCCAGAGTTAGATATATTCTTGAAAAACAACAAGGTTAATGTTCATCAGGGAAAGGTGGGAATGGAGAAACCACATCAGCCATGAACTTATTTAATGGTGGATCAGGGTCGAGGGGCTGAGTGTTTTGACTCCTGGTCAAAAATCTCTTCCGAGGGACCTTGATTAGTTATGTTCTGAGAGAACTTGATTATTAAGCAAGGCCACTCTAGATTTTCTCACTACAAATTGTTCTCCTTTAGCTTGTTTCTTCAACCACAATGTGAAATGCCTATTGTGGTTTTCTTCTATTTCCTGGACTTAGACAGGATGGCTTGCATTATGGGTAACTGGTGAATAATATTATACTGCCATGATTCACAGGAGGAACAATTAGGGTCATAGATTCAGCTCGTAGCTTTCTTCAAGACTCTAGTTTCTAGTGATGTTCCTTGATCCCTGCGTCGTACCTTGAGAGCTCTTTTTCTACATTAAAGATACAGGTACTGCATAAATACATTAATTGTTAAAACTGATTGGAAGGTATCAACATTTTATTGAGGGCATATGATTATATTTAAACACATTCCAGCTTACTCATACTGGGGAGAGATTAATAATTTAACTGCTGGATGTCTAAGCCAGCCACTGATGTATTGAACCTGTGGCTTTGAGGCTTGCTGGGCCATCAACTTTCTAACAGGTTAAAGCTAACATTGTTGAAAATGTATTTGCTTAAAATAACTAGATTTGTGATTGCTAGTTAATAAATTTACATGACTATGATTGATACATATAACTTGTGATTCTATAATTAGTTAATAGGTGACACACTAATACTTTTGATTGTGAATTCAGATTAGAAGGATACATATATCTCGGAGAAATATGGATATGGGCAAGTAGAGACGCGGGTGCACAGCTATGGATGGATTTGAAAATAAGGATGAGATATTTTAAAAAGCCGTTGTGTGTACGGGAATCGATGTACATAATTGGGAAACAGGACATGATGCAAGTTAAGAAAAGTTCCACAGTGAATGACCTCAAATTTATGGGGGGGTAGGAAGTATCAGTTTGGTTTAATTGGTCATACCATTCACCTCCAAGCCATAGGGTTCTAGGTGCAAATTCCACTATAGAGACATGGGTACAAACATCTGTGCTGACTCTTCAGTAGCACATGTAGGGAGTGCCATCTTTCAGGTGAAACATTAAATTGAGCCCCTATCTGCCTGCGTAGGTAGAAATAAAATATTCTGTAGTACTATTTGAAGAATGATAGAGGAGTCATTCCCAGGATCCTGGCCAATTTTTATCCCTCAATAAATATTACTAAAAACCAGATTATTAAAAATCAATTATTATCATGTTGCTGTTTTGGGAGACTGCTGTGCAAATTGACTACGTTACAATACTGACTACATTTCCAAGTACTTAATTGACAGTGAAGTCATTTGAGATGCCTTTTAGAATGTGGGAAACCCAGCCAGGAGTGTGCTGGAAAAGTTGTATCTGGCAGTAGCAAAGAAGGAAAAGTTGGACAATGCTAGGGAAGTGGAAGCAGGTTCTCTTAATGATGGGATGGGAGGTCATTTTGGAATAAAAGCTAACACCAAATTTGCAGACTGACTGCTTTAAACTCAGATTGTCAGCACAGAGAGGGATGGAGTAAAGGAGTGATGGCACAGAGTTTGAAGTAGGGACTGAAAGTTATGGCCTCAGTCTTTTCAATAATTCATTGGAGAAAATTTCTGCCAATCCAATACTGGATGTCAGATAAACAGTCTAATAGTTTAGGAACAGTGGAGTTGAGAGCAGTGATGGTGAAGTACAGTTTGTTGTTATCAACATGCAGTAAAAACTGACACTGTGCTTTCAGATGACATCACTGAGGGTGAATGTGTTGGTTTGAAATAGGAGGGGGCCACAGATCAATCTTTGGGGATAGCAGAGGTAACAGCATGGGAGCAGGGAGAGAAGTCAAAAGCTACAGTGAAATTAGGTAAGACTCACTCAGCTAGATGACAGCGGAGAAGGACTGGAGGAAGATGGAGTGGGCTGAATGTGTCAAAGACTGCAGACTGAGAAGGATGAAATTGGCAAGTTTATCTTTACAAAATGTTATTTTGTTATTTCAATTAACAGTTGTGTTGGTCTAGTGGCTTGGGCAGAAACCTGTTTGCAGGGATTCAAATACAGTATTGTAGGAAAGCTTGGGAAATAGAAATATGTTCAAGGACTTTGGAAAGGAAAGCGAGGTTGGAATTGAGGATGGTAGCTTGCAAGGATGGTCGGGACAAGGTTCAGTTTTTTGAAAGTGATGCTGATGGCAGATCTAACTGCTGAATAAATAGAACTATTAACAATATTGATTTACATGGGAATCAAGGAGAGGAGGTTGGGTGATCAGCAGTTTAGTGGAAATGAGTCTCATAGACAAGATAACCTCTGAGAAGACATGAGAGAAATATATGCAAATCTAGACTAAGTTGTCAGTTCAGATCTATGACAGGGAAGAACAAAGCGGTAGTTTCAATCGACAAGTTGGTGGAAAGGAGGGATGTGGCAGAAGTAGCTGATCAAATGGTCTCAAGAAGTTCTTGAGCTAGTTTGCACTTAGTATTGGAAAGGACATTGGAGAAGGGTTTAAGGAGACAGTTTGCATTAGAGAAAAGAACTCAAGGACAGGTTATTTTTGCATTCCAGTATGGTCGTGGAATAATGAGCGGTTTTAACAGACAACAGCAGGATCCATTGTATTTTATGTGGTCCAGCCAAATTTGGCTAAACCATTTGCCTTTCATTCCCTTTCAAGTTTGCATCCCTTACAAATGGGTTAGCGGACAAGAAGGCCAAACTGGAGGAGTGGCCAGCAGTGTTGGGGGAGGGGAGGGGTAGATAGTTGTGGTTTTACTGGGGATTAGGCATCAAAGAGAGAAGTGAGAGGGTCATTGAGCAAATCATTAGCTGGAGAAATCTTGTCATGAATGGAGAGTCAAAGGCTAGACAGTTGAAATTTTACATGCACAACTTACGAATTGAAGGATAGTTTCTTTCTGGGACAGATGCATAATGGGGTACAGTGTGGTCTGGAAGTGGTAAGTGATATGAAGAAGTGATCAGAGATGATCTTGTCTGTTAATATGATGGGACTAGCAAGGTGACATGATGTGCAAAATCATATGAGGTAGCTATGGATATAGTTTATGTAGAGGGAAAGATTCACTGTAAATATGAGGGGCGGTGAATTCAGTGGAAAGCGAACATGATTAGCTTGTCTTCACCCTTTTCCCCAAAACTGCACTCTGTTTTCAGCCTGCACTTGTTAGCCCAATTGACATAATTCGCACAAATGACAATGAAGCAATATGTTTCTCAGACATCTACACCACCTCGGCCCAGTTAGTTTATATTTGTTGGTAATTATCGCGTGCAATATCTCACAAAGAGGGACTGTTTGTTCTGAGCTGATTGCAACACCAGGAAATCACCACTATCACGAGTCTCCCACCCAAAGCAGGAGGGTTGTTTTGTTTTATTCATCACAGGATGAGGGTGCTTCTGGCTAGGCAGCATTTATTGCCCATCCCTACTTGCCCAGAGGGGAGTTAAGAGTCAACCACATTGCTTTGGGTCTGGAGTCACACATAGGCTAGACCAGGGAGGATGGCAGTTTCTTTTCCTAAAGGACGTTAGTGAACCAGGTGGGTTTTCCTGAGAATCAGCAATGGATTCACGATCATCATTAGATTCTTAATTCCAGACATTTACTGAATTCAAATTCCACCATCTGCCTTGGCAGGATTCCAAACCGGGTCCCCAGAACATTATCCTGGTTTCTAGATTAACAGTCCAGTGATAATACCACTAGGCCATTGCCTCCCCTGACATTAGGTTTATGAACCCTAAAGTTGAGTGATAGAAAGATAAATTAGGAACAAGAACGGAAAGCATGGTTAAAAAAAAGGCTTAGAAATTGAAAAGTTTTTAAGAAGAGAGATGTGAGGAGGTGGACGGGTGTTTTGGATGGGGGGAAGGGGATTTCTAGTATGCAGTCAAACAGAAGGAATGTTGTAACAACAGGCATGGATATAAGTGAGTGAAAGGCCAAGTTAGGCCATAGGCTAGGGATAGACAGTTTGTTGAAAACATTTTTACCTACCATACATTTTTTTCTTGAAGGATTTGGAGAAAAACAATTAACATATCAGCAATGAATAATACAACATCCTTAACAGGGATACTCACAAGCAACAATTTAACATCCAATGGCTCATTTCGCTGCAGTCCATCCGGATCCACTTATAATGCAGTTTTAATAGCAATTTACACCATCGTGCTTGTGGGAGGTTCTACTGGAGCCATCATCATGACTTGGAAAATAAAAACAGACAGTAAATCTGTGACATCCACTGCCATGGTCAATCTTATACTGATGCACACATTCTTTCTCCTAACTGTGCCTTTCCGTATCTCTTATTATGTTCTCAATGAGTGGAAGTTTGGTGAAATATTTTGTAAGCTGGTGAGTGCTATGATTCATGCTCACATGTACCTGTGTTTCATGTTCTATGTGGCCATAATTGTCATAAGGATGATCAGTTTCTTTCGAGAAAAGAAGACAATGGATTTTTACCAACCTTGGCATGCAGTTGCTGTGAGCCTAGTTGTCTGGACATTGGTGTTTTTTGCTGTTTTCCCACTGTTTCTAACGTATTTTGACAGCTCCGAAAAGGATGGCAAATGTTTTCAATTCACAGTTACAACTGCATCATCATATGTGAAGGTTATGAACTTTCTTGCAGTTATTACTGTGTTAACAACTTTTGGTGTTTTACTTGCCATCCAGATGGGCATAATAGTACAATTGATGATCCGTTACCAAAATAATCTGCTTAACCAGCAAGAATTTGGAGCTCAAACAAAGACACTGTTATTTATATTAATTATGATTTGTTTCATTCCTTACCTTGCATTCAGGCCGTTTTATGTAAGCCAACAGCAATGTTCATTGACCTTAAGTATTACGAATGAAATATTTTTAGCTGTGACGTCAATAAGCTGTTTCGATGTACTTGCCTTCCTAGTGGCTTCCCGCTGAGAAATCAGCCATTTTTGATTTTAAGTTTGAGCCGATATCAATTTTCATGCATAACATAAGCATCATTCAGGTTTCCAATCTGTCTCAATTGTACTTGCTAGAAGTTATATATCATACACAGGGCACTGTTACCTGCAAGCACAAAGATCATGTGCAGGCATACACCTTTGTTTTTTAATTTAAACAAAAGCATGAGTAACAATAATTCCATGATGAATTTTCCACAGAAAGATCACAACCAATCTAAGTTGACTGGCCAAAAAATCAGCACCTTTATCTCATGCTGTATAAATTGTTGCTTCCTTTGAAATAGGTATTCTTGCATTACTGACCTGGTGACTGCAAGATGAAAATGCTTCAACCAAACGTCTCGTCTTAACAATACTCAAGATCTATGCTACCAGGCCACTATTTATAACATAAATACCAAAAGCAATATAATTGGTGTAAAACAATAATTTATTTTACATAGATAACAAGGTGTAGAGCTGGATGAACACAGCAGGCCAAGCA